CTTTACGACAACCGGCGTTGACTTCATCGGAGCCCTTTACGTACCTGATAACAATGGCGAAACGAAGGTGTACATCTGCCTCTTCACATATGCTGTAACCAGAGCTGTACATTCAGAGATTGTGACAGACCTATCCACCGAGTGTTTTCTGAACGATTCAGGAGATTTGCAAGTCGCAAATCGTTGCCACAAAGGATGATCTCGGATAACGCGTCAATTTACTTATCCGCTGCAGACGAACTTAGAGCTCTCTTCAATTCACAAGCACTGCACGACTCTCTCAGCAAACGAGGAGTAGAATGGCAATTCATTCCGAAAAGCGCGCCTTGGTTTGGAGGATTCCGGGAGCGCTTGATTGGTCTAACCAAAACCACCTTGACGAAGATCCTTGGACGTGCATATATAAATCTAGAGGGTCTACAAACGATCATAGTCGAGATCGAAGCTGTCCTCAATGACCGCCCTATAACCTATGTCACATCCGAAGCCGACGATCCAGAACCCTTGACACATTCCCACCTTCCCACCTTCTCTACGGACGACGCGTCAGAAGATTACCTCGTCTAATCGCTGAAGTAGAGGAATTACACGATCCCAATTTCGACGACGATTCCGAAGTTCGAGAAAGAGCCAGGAAACAATCGACAATCCTTTTGGATGCGGTGGAGGCACGAGTATCTCACCTCACTTCGTGAATTCCACAAAACAACAGGGACAAACGAACAGAATGTCAAGCAAGGTAACGTTGTGTTAGTTCACGATGACTGTTCCAGAGCCAACTGGAGACTTACGTAATTGAGAACCTCGTTAGTGGAAACGATGGATTGATTCGATCTGCCGATATTCGTACTAGCACTGGTAGAACCGACCGACCTATTGCTCGTCTCTACCCTCTCGAAGTTTCAACCAAACAGGAAGCAAAACCCATCCTATCATCAGAGAAACCACCACCAACCTCGGAACCCCCACATCGCCCGAGGAGAGAGGCTGCTGTAAGAGGACGCAAACGAATTGCACGTTGGACACAGAAACTTTCCCTACTCCCGGAGGATGTCGAGAATTATGCATAGTTGTTAAAGGACACTATAGTTAATCTTATATGACTTTTAAGCGTAGTATTTGATTGCGGGTGCGCATTAGAGCTCGCCCACGAACACGTTTTAGATTCGTAACATTCATATAAAACGCCCGTTTTGGACCATACTTTTGGACTTTATGTTAGTTATGTCATGTATTAAGATGTCAAGTACATTCATATAAACAATCCACAGTCATGTAATAACAGTATCTGCATGGGCAGCTATAGGCTGTACCAATATCACAGTTCTAGTCAATATTAAGTACAACCACATGAGATGTCTCATCATGCCTGCTGATCGAGTGTACGTACATACAACTAGCATAACTTGCAACTGGAGTCAGAATTAACAAAGAATAGACTTTAATTAACCACGCTTTGTAAGTTAATTTGAAATTATATGGCACTTCATAAATACCAAAAATGAAAATAGCTAGTCAGAATTAGTATTCAATAAAGTACAAAAAATTTTGAGACTCCATTTTAAAAACTGTGGCACTAGAGTTTTTCTAAAAACAGAGATGTAATATAGGCATGCCCGTGAGGAATATACTGTATTCTATGCAAACCCCATATATTTTCTGATAAAGTTTCGAAGTTCTCATTGTTCACAGGGCTCATTGTTTTTCCCAAGTAATACAATCACAATAATTTTGATGAATTTATTCTGTACAAGTTGTAGCTGTGTTAACTCGAGTAATTTACGGCAAAATCAGCAAGTCGAGTCCCAGTCGAGTGATTTGGGGCTGTTGCATAGAAATATTAGACCTAGAATGCGTGCTTGGTCACGTGACGGGTGTCCAAATTGAAAACAAAAATGCCCTTAAAAATCCGCCATGTTGAATTTGAGCATAGGAGTGCAAACTACAAAGTATAAACAAAGCTAAAACTAAGTTTTCATCGTCAAAAGGTTTTGTCTTGCTGTCTAATTTGTAGTTTGGAAATATATTTTGAAATATTAAGTTCTTTAATTAAAGGCTCGAAGCAAATGACTGTGCAGTTACTGACAAAAACGGTGAAAATCATGCAGCCTGTATAAAAAACAAAGTAGTTTCGCGTATTAAAAATAGAATATAATTTACTCATAAAACATTTTTGCCTGCTCTGAACGTGACTGCTTTGCTAATATATTATTAAATTACGAAATAATAGTTTGTTGTTTGCATTCTTTGTCGGGTTCCGTTTTTCTTCAATCTAAACGAAGTCGAAGTGTTTTCATGTTTTTGAAACACTGAAATATTTAGTTGTCGATAAACTGTAAATCGCGGGAATGGGTTTTACTCGTTTTAAAAAAATATTTTTCCACTTCAAGTCTCGATATAATTGTTTTTTCAAACTTTGTTGAAAAAAACAATTCGCACTCCCGGCAACCGCGCGAAATTCCTGCCGCAGGAGTCTGGGACTGGCCAAAATGCCCTTATAAATCCGCCATTTTGTGGAGACAAAATTTTTACTGAGAAGAGATAGGAGCACGCATTCTATGTCTAATATTTCTATGGGCTGTTGATTCGAGTCGAGTCATTTTTCTTTTTGGACTCGACGAGTCGAGTCACTGAAAATAGAGACTCGAGTCCGAGTAAATGATTCGACTCATTACAACACTGCGGCCCACCCCGACCCCGTGGACATCTCCCCCCCCCCTCCCCCCACCGTGCTTATTCGACCACATACGCCAGAATACGAATTGTACACCCGACAAATCGTAGCCTAGCCTGTAATTTAAATTTTAGATTTTCATGTAATGCGCATATGAACATATCTACATGGTAATATGCGCAATATAAGTTTAATTATGTTAATGTTAATGTTAAACGTACTATACCTTTACGGGACAGATCTGTACACTTTCTAATTGTGTGTTTCAGTTACATCAGTATCACAACGCTTGTGTGACAAAGCAAAAAGTATGTAATTTCGAGATTTTTGCGCATCTCGTTCGATATAAGTAATAGTAGATGAGTTATTAATAGATGGAATATTCGAACGTAAATTTATATGAAAACTGCATGAAAACTACATTTTTATATGAAAACTGCACCGGAATGGCAGAGGCCTAACTCTAAAGTTGCATTTTTCGCAACTGAAATGTATATAAATTTAAGTTCTAATATTCCATCTACTAAAAACCCAACTACTGTAATTTTTGTAGGACTGTATTGAACGCCTATTAAATGGCTATGGCTGTATGGCATACTGCAGAATTCAGTGCAAGCAATCGTTTAATAAAACGTTTACGGTGAGTTAAAACAACGTCTGAAACGATTTGGGAGCAATGCATGCGATTTTATTGGTCTTCATTATACTGATAATTTTGAGCCATTAATGCCATAACATCAAGTCCGCGTTTTACTAATAGAGTCCAGTCCGCGTTTTACTAATAGAGTCCAGTCCGCGTTTTACTGATAGAGTCCAGTCCGCGTTTTACTAATGGAGTTCAGTCAGCGTTTTACTAATCTGAGTCAAGTCCGCGTTTTACCATATGCCCAAATAAATAGACAACAAGACGCCGAAATTTTGTTCGCTGGCCTAATGCTTTGATCAGCCAATCAAAACTAGGGATAAAATGTTTTTAAAATTGTTTTGAATAAAGTACAAGGTTAACTGGTTAAGGAACAAATATTCAAATAGTATAAAAGTATAAAACTGAAAAAAGACAACACAACTCACAGTTTTGGCTATTGCCTTTGGCTTTTCGCACAAAGAAGCCAAAACTCTTTAAAGAAATGTCAATAAGTAAATGAGAAACACTGTCGGCACTATATGTGAAAATCAGAAGTTTGATATGGTATTGCAACGAATTGACGAGGAAACTCCTAACATAAACAACAACAAACTTTATTGCAAAAGCTTAGTGGACTTCACAAGCTACATAAAGCGTTCACAAATGCCTAGCAACAGCTGACGTAGAGGTAAGAAATTGCAGGAAAATCTGGTTTTCCCCGGTTAAATTAAACACCGTTTTAAGTTAAACGCCTTTCGTACAACCGGCCGAAGTTTAACCGGTGGACAAGGCAGTAGCTAT